CGCTTAACTCAGAGAAAACAAAATATATATTATTCCATAAAAAGGCGCAAGAAGAAAACCTTCCTCTTAAGTTGCCTGACCTTATCCTAAATGATAACTTAATTAAAAAACAAGCTAGCATTAGGTTCTTAGGAGTTCTTGTTGATGAGAAGCTATCCTGGCTTCCTCAAATAAGATATATTCAATCTAAAATCAGTAATATAATTGGTATGATGTATAGAGTTCGCTCATATATCAATAAACAAAGTCTAAAACTAATTTACTTTGGACTAATTCATTGCTTTATCAGCTATGCAAACATATCATGGGCAAGTACTCAGCCATCAAAACTTAAAAAAATCTATAGTCTACAAAAACACGCATGCAGAATCATTTACTTTAAAAATAAGCGGGAGCATGCAAAACCTATAATGAAAGATATGAAAATGATGGATGTTTTTGAAATAAATATCTATCAGCATTTAATTTTTATGTATCAATTTAATAATAATCTCTCTCCTACAAACTTTACTAACAGGTTTGAAATAAACATAAATGAAAACTACTATCTAAGAGCAAATATAAGTAACACATATAAACTGCCTCAAAACCTTAATAAATATACTGAATATAGCATTGCATATCGGGGGCCAATTATATGGAATAGATATCAAAAAGGATCCAAATGTATGGCAAAGTCATTAAGTTCATTTAAGTTTCTGATAAAAAAAGAAATTTTTAAAATTTGATTATTATTTGTGCTTAAAAGGATTACAAAGTAATTTTCTTTATAATCTTATTTATTTGTTTTTATTGATCAGCGCAGCAGTTTTATGTCCATTAGGGTTTTTAATTTAATTTAATATCCATAACCTAATGAAAATGTATATAGGGGGCTCTATGAAAAGATTGCGATGATTATTTTATAAAGATCATTGTAAAAAAGTATAGTTTATTTTATATACTGTATATACAAAAACGGTGCTTGTTGACAACATTTTACTGTCTTTTTTCGGACATATTTCTTTCTTTCTTGTATATATATGTGTTGATTATATTTGTTAAACAGCAAAATAAATGTAAAAAAAAAAAAAAAAAAAAAAAAAATTATGGAATTTGAATAAGTTGAGAAAGAAAAATATGTGACTAAAGGCAAACTATGACTAAACTTACTGTTTGGGAAGCTTTTGCATTTGAACTCGTCTCTCCACTGAGTATTTCACAAGGTACAAAGTCATCTTCCCGGAAAACTGAGCTGTCTACCGGCCATATCCCAGTGTCTCTAAATCCATTAATAGCAATTTCCATACCAACAACTTTTGAGTAAGCTTCGCCAAACAGTTGAGATACTTGATATTGAGTAATACATCTGCCTGGATGGGTTTGCATCCATTTATCACAAGCAGTATTATATTTAAAATTTAAAGCTTTGAAAAAAAATCTACCTAAAGGTTGTAGCCTATGAGTAGTATGCGATGGCAAAGAAAGCATTACTACTCCGTGATCTCGAGCTAGAACTAAGGCTTCAAGGTTTTTTGTATGTGTTGAATGCCCGTCAAGTATAAGAAGAACTTTTTTTTGTTCTGGATTTTTTGCAAGAGGTTTAAGACAAAGTGAGCTTATAAAATGACTTATCCACAAAGTAAATAAATCTTTAGTTATCCAACCAGTATCAGAACATCCAAAAACTGTCAATGGTGGTGCACCATCTTTAAGCTCATTTTTAAATCTTTTACGTTTAAATATAAGCATAGGAGGTACAAAAGATCCAACAGCATTCATACAACATATGGCAGTGGTATTCACACCCCTTTCACCACTTGTAATACCTCCTACTTGGTGTTTACCTTTCAGAGCTAAAACTTTCCTTGGTTTGTGAACTGTACTTATTCCAGTTTCATCTACGTTGTAACCCAAATCTGCAGTAATATTGTGGTTATAAACAAGTTTAGTAAGTTTATTGAAAAATAATACAAACTTTTCTTTACAAAAACCTGTGGCTCTTGCCATAGAAGGTAATCTCAAACTAAGGAAGTTCAGGTAATCTCAAACTAAGGCTTGGATTGCGTTTCATGAATTGGTAATACCACTTCTTTCCAGCCATACCAACATCTTTGTTGAATTGATGAGGTATTTTGTTTTTTTCAGCAATTTCAAATGCCAATTGTCTAAGACCTATTGTATTTATTCCAAACATACAAGATTCCAGTTTCAACTAATTCTTTCTCAACTTCAGGAGGTAAGATACTAACTGTTTATTTGATTCATTTGCAAATATATTTTGATGATTCATATGTCTTTTTAATGTTGGTTTAGGAATTCCATATTTTGCACATACAGCATTAAGTCCAATTTTACCATTTCGATAAGCAAAAATAGCCTCTTTCATATCTTCTTTTATCCACAAACCATATCTCCGTTTCGACATTTTAAAATTCATATTATTTTTATATACTTCACGCGTATTTTGAGCATTCAAAATGGCAGCCTTGGTACAATTTAAGACCTTAAGTGAGGTACGAATTACGCGACTAGACTCACTTTAAGTTTATAACGAAATTAGACAACAAATGCTAATGTATTTTAATTTCTTGGAATATAATTTGAATTCATATAACTAGTGCTTTCACATAAATATGATAAAAAAGACATATTTAACATGTTTAAAGTCTAACAAATCTAAACATTGAACACCAAAAATAAGAAAACTTTGGCATCTTATCAACTCGAGGTAACTGCTGCCAGAATCTAGTTTCATCTCACGAAAAAATAATTGATTCATTAGTTCAACATAGCAAAGATAAAATTTAAGTCAAAAGATATTTTCTGGGTTGTAAAAATAACTAGATACAGCAAAAGTACAATTTAGGCGCCGGTATATCGGCAACCTTACTCTAATAGTTGAATAATTTAATAAAGTTTTACGTGGAATTTCAAATGATAACTAAAAAAGGATTCGTCAACATTTTAATCGATATTTCTTAATGATTAAAAATATTTTTTGCCCATCTTCGAGCGCTTTTTTTATTTTTAATGTGCAAGAAATATTTGTAAAATTAGTGTAGAACAGATTTCGCTTTATAACATACTGTTTGTAGATACCGCTCCAAAGATTCTTCGTAACATTGTTTAGTAGATACCGCTCCAAAAGTTCCAAAAGTTTCGCTCCAAAAGTTCCGCTCCAAAAGTTCCGCTCCAAAAAACCCACTTCTGGACAAGTCATGCGACATCGGTTGGGAAGGAGGCGTGAACTTCCTATTAAATGCTCTTCCGCGGTGCTCTGTGATAAGACCGTAAGGACTTCTTGGGGCACCTAAATCAACATTTAAATAAAAAAAAAAAAAAAAAATAAGTTCTTTAAAGTGAACGTAATTTTGACTTTTTAAAAAGAAAAGTGCTTTTGGTATTATACTTTAATAAAAATAATTTCAACAGTATTTAAGAACTCTGTTTTTTTTGGGGGAAATCTACAGTTTTTAGTGGTATCGAAATTTAACAGTTTTCAAGAAGTTTGTCAATAATTAGTTTTTGATTCAATTAATTGTGCAAACTTTGAACGCCATTTTTAATTAAAAATTAACCCCTTTCCTCCTTACCCCCACAAAAAAAACACGTTTTGAAATTTTATAGTCCAACAGGAAAATTTAATACTATTGTGACGAAATGAAATTTCAGGAAACTATTCTAATTTAGTTTTTACGGTGGTAAAAAATGTTTTTCTGAGCTGAAATCATTTTCTAAATTGATCTTAGCAAGCTAATTAATCCTTTACATCGTGAAAAATTAATGAGCTTTACTCATGCATTTTTTTGTCTTAAATTTGCCAGAGGTGGATTTTGAACTTTGTTGCTGAGGCAAGTGTGCTACCACTGCGCCACGGCTGCACATTATGCATATAATTTGTCACATAATAATTTAGTTAAGAATAAATTCAAATTTTATTTGAATTATATTCATTGTTGTTATATATATATATATATATATATATATATATATATATATATATATATATATATATATATATATATATATATATATATATATATATATATATATATATAACAATAATGAGTATAATTCAAATAAAATTTGAAATTATTCTTAACTAAATTATTATATGAAAACTTCTACAAATATAAAGTCAAATGTTATTAATAATAGTATATTTTAATTAGCCTAATAGCCCTTTTAATAACCTAGTTTACACTGTTATCACGATTTGTATATATATATATATATATATATATATATATATATATATATATATATATATATATATATATATATATATATATATATTATATATATATATATATATATATATATATATATATATTTGTAAAGCAATTTTAATAGTTTATTGTATTGTAAAACGGCTAACTTTGTAAGCTGGAAAAAAAAAAAAAAAAAAAAAAAAATTAACTTTACCATAACACTTAGTACACGAAGTTGTTTTTAAACAGCCCTTATAACGTAAATGCAAAAGAGATCTTCGCCTCATTATGATATAATTATAGATACAATAAGTTATAATCTATAGGCTCTATGCTTATAGCTATAAGCTATATTATATATATATATATATATATATATATATATATATATATATATATATATATATATATATATATATATATATATATATATATATATATATATAGTAAAAATTTATGAAATAGCCTAGGTTGCCTCTGGCAAGTATACTATAAAAGAAAGATAACTTATTTTTATATCTGGTCGATTATTTGATGTAGGCTTTTACACGATATATCGATATAAGATAAGTTTTTACACGGTAGTAATGAGTAATGAGTCAAGCGATGAAAATGAATGAATGAATTGTTACAACAGCGATATCCGCGTCTGATAGTCTCTTAATGCTCTAAAAACTATTAATTATTTATTGCAAACAATAAAAAGTATTAACTAATTCAAATTGCATATCAATATTGAATGCGCATTTAAATTTAATCTTATTGGGTTGTTACATAATTAAACCAATGTATCAAAAAAAGAAGCTAAAAAATATTTTATTTAACAGTATACGTATATTATTTAGAAGTATTCATTCAGATAAGAGAAAGTATATGAACTGAATATTTTATTACGAAAAAGTTGCAGAGGAGGTCGGTCAAACAGCAAAGCAAGAGTTACTAAAAGAGGAACAATAAAGGTATTGATAGCGTAAGAAAGCATCAATGACAGGCTCTCATTGAAAATAAGCACTATTCTTATATTTGTATATCATTTATGTGTAAAGTAATACATACACATAAATCACATACAAACATAAGAATTTTATTATTCGTATGACAAAGTAGTGTATCACATACACATTGTGCATGTGTCGCACTACTAAAAAGAATACTTTTATTCGTATATGTATGTGTTACATTACTGAAAAGGTTTTGATAAAAAAAAAAAATGACACTAAAAATTTGTATTTTTCTAATTAGAAATATTTAAACAAAAGTTTTATGTTTAAATATTTATTTTTTAAGTATGGATGTTCCAAAAACTGTTTTTACAACAATTTTAGTAATACTCATAATGGCGAAAAAACTTGCCTAAAAACGAATAACTGACCAATAATTATCATCTTTTATTTTATGAATTTTCTCTCTTACAAACTTTATAGATTAATGCATTATGGTATATTCCAGTTAACCGGTTAAGATTAGCCGGTTAATTTTTTATTTAAAAACTTATTTTAAATTTCATTATGAATTATTGAAAATTTGCTTGAAATACTAAGTAATTGAAGTCAACATAATTTCTTTATTAAAAATGATTGAAAAGGAATAAATCCTATTTGTAAACAATATTTTAGCATACTAAGTACATCCTAAAAATGTTAGACACAAATCATTAGCCAATATAAAGATATATCGTTGCAATACCATTAGGACGGTAAAAAGTTGTCTTAACTTTTTACTGATCTTAACTTTTTTTGTTATTTTTTTGTTGCTAGCTTTATTTTTATGTGCGTTTTCTATTTTTAACAGTTTTAAATTTTTAAGATTTATCTAAATCTACTAAATCATGTTAAATATATCTTTCATAAAGTAAACAAGGAAAAGTTAAGTAAAATAATGCAATATCAACAGTTCATTATAACTACTTTTTAAAATGCCACAAAGCAAATGTGCTTTTAAAGTATAGCTAAAAACTTTATATAATGCTGAGATTTCAAAAACAGAAGCTATTTAAGCATAAGTTTTAGGAATTATACAGTTTCTAGTTTTGTAAAAAACGTTTTTGTTTGCGTTTTCAAAAAATTCATCTTCTTAAAAATGTTTTTTTTTTTAACAAAATAGCATCTTAATGCAAAAATATTGTAAAAATAAATTTTTCAAAATATTTTAATTTCAAAATTTAGATTTGTAAAAATGTCTATTGATTGGGCAGCAATTAATTCTAAACTACCTACTGGAAGAAGTGAAGAAGAGAAAGAACAACGACAAGCGCTGTTCAAACAATTTGATAATGGTAATGGATTTTTATCGTTAGCAGAAATTGATAAATCTATCGGAAACTTGCTTCAGTTAGACGATGTGTTTGATATTAAGCCAGCTATAATGAGGGCATTTCAATTAGCAAAGAGTGTTGTAAAGTCTAGTAAAAAGTCGGGTGACGACTTTATTGAATGGTGTGAGTTTAGATATTTTCTTCTTTCTCTTCGACAGTACCTTGAGTATTATGAAGCATTCGAACGCATTGACAGCGACTCGAATCACCAAATTTCTTTAACAGAATTTAAACAAGCGCAAGAAAAAATTGAGAAATGGGTTGGTCCGATTTCGCCCGAGGATGAGTTTAATGCGATTGACAAGAATGGAGGGGGATCAATTTTGTTTGATGAATTTTGTGATTGGGCAATTAAGAAGAGTCTTGATCTAGAAGATGACGTTGATTAAGTAAAATTTGTTGTAATTTTTACGAAAATTTGTTAACATAATTTTGTGCACAATAATTTCTCTTGGTTATCCTTGTTGTTTCAATTATAATTTTTCTTTTATCTTAACCTAAAGGGGTTCAAAAAAATTTATTCGGTATAAGATATTTGCTTTTGTTACACAAAATCTGTAACTTACACATAAGTTGTAATGTAGAGTGCATTTATTATATATTTAATATAGTTTTTATTACTTGTCATATATAGCTATAATATTTTATAATAAAGGTGATTAACTAATTGAACAAAAAATTTAGTGTAAAAACATTTAAAAATAAAACACTTTCAGAATAACTTAAAAAATTCCTAAAATTCGTAAAAACTAGTATTTCTTGTTTTTTATTAGCAAATCATAGTATAAGAGTCAGTTTACTGCCTGCTAATAGACCATCCACATTTACACGCAGTTAACTTGGATGTTATGCCGAATCTGTAGAAAATCAGCTTCAACCATAGCTATAAACAATTTAATTTTTTAATTTAAGAGATTAATGGACCAAAAAAGTTTGTTGAATTTGTTATTCTCTAAATCTATTTACGAATTAGGCTTTGTTTAAACTTATCCCGGGGGAGTTTTTTAACAATTTTACAAGGTTCCTTTATGATCGTTTCTGGCTTTGCTACTGGATTAAAATTACATTATCATCAATTAAAAATTAATTATTATAAATTATGATATTGTTAACTAAGTTGACCCGAGAGCAACAACTATATAGTGTTTAAATATCAAGAATGTTTAAAATGTTATTTGAATTTTAAATTTTTTTTTTTTTTTGTATGCGGAAAAGAATTAAATTTAAATGTTCAAATTACCAAAAATGCAATGTTCAATTACCAAAAATGCAACCTTGGGCACACCAACTCTGCTTATAATGAGTTTTTAGAAATATTCTTAAAGCATTATAATAATCACTTCCCAATTATAGAACAACAATTAAAAGTAAAATACTTACAATGTCCATGGATTACTAGAGGTATAAAAAAATCTTCAAAAAAAAAAGCAAAAACTTTACATCAAATATTTAAAAAATAGAAATGAAAAAAACCTAAATACCTACAAGCAATACAAAAATTTATTTGAAAAAATTAAAAAAAATTTAAAAAAAAAACTACTACTCGAAGCAAATAAAAAATGCAACTGGTGACATTAAAAAAACATGGAACATTATAAAAGAAATAATTGGGAACAAAAAAACTAAATCAAATAATTTGCCTGCTCGAATTATCATAGACAATATAGAGTACAGTGACAAAAATAAAATTGCTGAAAAATTCAATGAATTTTTTGTTAACATTGGCCCTAATCTTGCCTCAAAAATTGAATATCCTAATAACTCGTTTGAATCATATCTAAATGATCCCCAGAGCGAACTAAAATACAAAGAACTAAGCTATCAAGAGCTTAACGTTGCACTAAACTCCTTAAAATTAAATAAAACTCCAGGAATAGACGATATCTGTAGTAGGATAGTGGCAAATGTCTTTACAGTGATAAATAAACCTATATTTGAAATCTTCAAGTCTTCGATTAAAACAGGAGTTGTACCAGACAAGTTAAAAGTAGCTAAAGTAGTACCAATATTTAAAACAGGTGAATCATACTTAATTAATAACTATAGACCTATCTCGGTACTCCCTACCTTCTCTAAGCTTCTCGAACGAGTAATCTACAACAGATTGTACGAGTATTTAATCCAAAATAAAATCCTAAATAAAGAACAATTTGGCTTCCAAAAACAATATTCGACTGAACACGCAATCCTAGATCTAATTAATAGTATAAGTGATTCTTTTGATAAAAAACAATATGTTCTGGGGATCTTTATAGACCTGTCAAAAGCCTTTGACACAGTAAATCATAATATCTTACTTAAAAAAATGGAAAGCTATGGAGTAAAAAACATCACTCTTGACTGGTTCAAAAACTACCTAAGCAATAGGCAACAATGTGTTATTTCAGACAATTATAAACACTCAAAACTACTAAGAATAGAGTGCGGTGTCCCCCAAGGTTCCATTCTTGGACCCCTTCTGTTTCTTCTATATATTAACGACCTTACAAAAACCTCGAAAAAACTTGATGTTATAATGTTTGCCGACGACACAAATTTATTTTATTCCTCGAACTCAATCAAAAACCTTTATGAATGTATGAACAAAGAGCTTGAAAAATTAAACATCTGGTTGAAATTAAATAAGTTATCACTAAATACAGAAAAAACAAAATATATATTGTTTCATTCCAAAAAACAAAAAAATAATATACCAACTATACTTCCCCCACTAAAAATAGATAAGGTAAACATTAAAAGAACAGAAACAACAAAATTTCTTGGGATACTTATTGACGAAAATATAACTTGGAGAGCCCATATTAGTACAATAAACACCAAAATTTCAAAAAATATTGGGATACTTTACAAAGTTAAACCTATGTTGTCCCAAGATAATCTTAAATCTCTTTATTTTTCTTACATCCAAAGTTATCTTACGTACGCTAATATTGTACGGGCAAGTACACACAAATCCAAGTTAAATACTCTTTATTTAAGTCAAAAACATGCATCAAGATTAGTTTATAATAAATATAAACTCACCCATGCTGAACCTTTACTAAAAACCCTAAATGCACTGAATGTTTACCAAATCAACATCTATCAAAATATTCTTTTCATGCTTAAATACAATCTTGGACTAGTCCCATCGCATTTTTTAGATAACTTTTTTCAAATTAACTCTAATAGATATACCACAAGAGCAACAGGGAACTTCACATTACCAAAAAAAACAACAAAGTTCTCACGATTCTCTATTTCCTACCGGGGTCCGTACCTATATAACAAAATAATATCCGAAAATATAGAACTTAAAGCATTAAATAATTCTGCCACCTTGAAAAAAAAATTAAAACACCTCATACTTAATATCAAAAATTTTATTGACATGTATTAAACTTAACAACAAGATTTATACTAAAATGTTTATGTGTATCACTGACTGTGTATTGTTTAACCACTTTTAACTATATATAAAAATTAATTAAATTTATTTAACCACTTGAAAAGGTACTTGATGATAAGACTTCATAGTCTTCTGCGAGTCTCCTTTACAACAACATGTTTATATTTGAAGAAACAATAGTTTTTATTTAAAAAAAAAAAACAGTGTTTATTAATCTAACGTTATATTTTATTATAATTGTTAAATTACGTATTCTTATGTTATGTTATATATTTTACTCTTTGCATTAATTTATATGATAGAATTGTAACGTAATGAAGTGTATATTGAAGTTAAAAAAAAAAAAAAAAAAAAAAAAAAAAAAAAAAAAATTAAAGTGATACTTTGACCTCAAAGTGAGTCAATGAAAAATAGCAGTAGAATTAGAACCTTATATATTAAATTTATAATTTGATATTAGTGCAAAAGGAAAAGTATGATCACATCAAAGTTATAATAAAGTTTAAGAAAGATTGGTTCATTAGTTCAGGATTTATGGCAGTTTTAGTTGATTTTTTTTTTTTTAATGCTTCTACATCAAAACTTTTTGATTTAGAAAAAAATTAAAAAATGAATTAAAACTGATACGTATCTGTTAATCTGATAAAACTGATAATCAGCTAAAATCAGATACGCTTCTGATTACTTTGATATTATTCAAATATTTTCAAAATAAAAGTTACATTAGTGTTCTACTAGGTAATACTAACAAACAAAATCTTCTAATATATCTATTATTTTCATTTCAAAGGGCAAATATTAGTTTGATATTTTAAGTTTGGCTCGGTTTTTTCATTGGGAAAAGGTATGTAAACAGGGGTGGATCTGGACCATCTAGTAAGGATGGGGGTTAATTTTTAAATTTTATAACTTATGGGCTGGCAAGCTCACAAATCATAATAAACTTTTAGCCAAGTTTTCTATAAATATTAGTCTTATACTGCAGTGGCGTTACTCGGGTAATGCGGGGGTGCGGGTCGCACCGGGTGACACTATCACGACCTGACACAAAGGGCTGACACTAAAATAAAAAAAAATGCAAATATGACAAAATTGCTCATGTTTGTGTTAATTTATTTTTGCTTTTGGCCTAACCAATACTTTTCAGGTTTTGATATTTTGACATTCATTATTAATAAGTCTGCTATTTCTTTATTTCACAAAAAAATCTTTTGTCTTTTATTCGAGATCAAAAAATTGTATTTTGTAAGTCTTAACTTTTTTCTATACGACCATTTTTTTTTTGGAAATTTAAGAACCGTGTCGTCGGTACTGTTAGTAAAAATCTAGAGGGGTGACACCAAAATTTACCGCACTCCCTGAAACCAATAACAGTGACGTCACTGTTATACTTTATTAATCTAAGTAACTATGAAATGAGGTAATTAATTGGCATTTAATCAATTAAATTTTGATCAATCGATGCAATTAATTCGCATCTTAGGGGAGAGGTCCATAAAAGATATCACCATTTTTTAGACAGCTTTTGACCCTCCCCTCCGTCACCGGTCGTCCTTTTTACCAATACCCCCCCTTCTCTTAAAAAGAATGTCATAAAATTGGGACCTTCCCCTCCTTCCTTTATTTTTTAAAGCAAAATCCGTTCTTAATTTCAACATTTCTATTTAAATTTTTCAGATGAATTACATTTTTCTGTGTTTAAATATCATTCAGTAGCTTATTGGGTGATTATTGGGTATTTCCACGTTTGTTTTAGTTCTTTTAGTCTTGTAGACCTCCCTGAAAAAAAAAAGTTTTTTTATAATACTCTTATTCTATGCATTAAATTTAATCAAAGCGTTTCATGAGAACATACCTGACTCTTTATCCATTCAAGGATTTTTTAAATAATTATCAATTGATATGATTAAAATAGAGCACTCCAATTTGTCTAAAATAGGCGCATTTGGAATATTAGGACCTTCCGTTTTGGTTTTGTCCTCATCGAACCATTCAGCAAAGACCGCGTTTTATTCTACCGCAATTAAACATGACTTGGGAGGCAAAGTACAAGTTACCAAGCTTACAGAT